ATACGCACGGGAGGCATTTATCTAAAAAAATTAATACGTGAAGTATACAGATAGGGATAAGGGTGAAGAAAACAAAAAATGCCCCAAATACGTACCACTGTGAGTCGAACCAGCTCGGCCAGCTCTTCGCTACCAACTATAGCGCCATCATAAAGTGGACCAAACTCCAACGCGCTTACCGTCTCAACTCGAACGCGATACATCTGAAAGGAAAAGATTGATGAGGTTCGCCTTTATTTATCTGTAAATCAGAGCCTAAGCCACAAGTCACAGGACTAGGCGTTAGGAGGTTTGTACGTTCCACAGTCAGTGGAACTTCCAGACCTCCTAATCCCTAGTTTTGCAGAAGTTTGTCCATCTTTTTTTTCCAAAAAAATTAGCGTCAATCAACTATCAGAAAGTTGTTGTATACAGTGTGCGCTTAAATATGGTAAAAAGCCAGGTAGGACCACCCTCGACCTAACAGGACCCCTTTCTTCGCAGCGACCAAGCACGGCCCCGATAGTCCCCAGTCTTTCCGTCTCCCAGCATTTCGAAAATGTAGCTCACCTTGGCGTCAGCCCTCTCTAAAACGATTAGAACGTCACAGAACTTTGTTGCAATCGTCTCTCGTCGATATGGTTTCGAGTGTTCTGACCAGACCACATGAACCTGAATAAATTTTGCAGGTGTTGGTACCTCACTGAGTCCTTGAATTACGAAAAAATATAGTTCACGTCAAGAGTGGAATTCCCAAGATACTTATTAATATGCTCACTCCTTAATAACCTTCAACATTCCTGGCAAATTCATGCAACACTTACCTCGTCATTTCCAATATGCTTCCATTTCTGTGTCGCATCTCCTGTTAGATGAGTGCTGACATGGAAAATGAGCTCTGTGTCTGGTGCCGCATAGTACGGTGCTTCGGTGTCATACGGTAAACCGCCTGGATAGCCCTCATGGCCTCTTCCTATGCGAACCTAAGAATAGGAGCTTTATGGAGAACTGAAGGCTCTGAATTCGGAAAATAATTATACAGGTGAACATACCTGCCAACCAAGTTCACTAACGAATCGTTCGAAACATGGTGATGCAGTGGTATTCGAAAGGATCGACTGCTTGTCTTCTTGGCCATCTGCCACGTAGATTACGGCAACCTAAAAGAATACAAAAATGATGACCAGACCCTGACAGACAACTAGGAGTATGTGACAAGACAATCGAAATATACCGCAGTGATGGGCGTGGCGAGCGCGCCGCTTCCGACAGGCGGGTTGTCTCACCTGTCCGTTTTTATATGATTGTCAAAGCGGTGTCAATCTACGTGGCAGATGGACCAAGAAGACAAGCAGTCGATCCTTTCAAATACCACTGCATCACCATGTTTCGAACGATTCGTTAG